CTGATCACTCCTAACTTGTGTTCCAGTGGGTGGTGGGAGTCAAAACGCAAATATTGGTTAAGGAATTGAAGTTTTTATTTTGTTTTGTTTCTTGATTTTTATTGCTTGAAATTCATTTTGGAAAAAAGGGGCAGATATTATAAGATTTTTTTTTCTTCTTTCTGCCTCCTTTCATTTTCAGTGTGATTTATTTTTTTGTGTGTATAAAATTTTTATTTTTAAATTAAATGAATAAATTAATTAAGTAAAAAAAATCTATATTTTTTTTCTTCTAAGAAACTTGATGTACACCACTTCATGGCTGTATTTCAGAGCCTTGAGCTACCAGAGTTTAAAACTTTTGTTTTTCAGGAAAACTAAAATAAAATATAGTTTAATTTAAATTTATTCTTTGAAAGAATACATACTACCCCCACCTGTTATACCAGATCATTAAGCTAGAGACACACAAACACACACAGAGGCAATAATCAAAGTCTATTATATTCACTTGTTTAGGTCACACATTAATGAAACAGATACAGAAACGCCTGTTGAGTCATTTTCTGGTAAAAAGCAGACCTTATTAAAGGAAAAGTCTGAATTTATAAGAACTACTATTGGAAATATTAGAAAATTTCAACCGGTATCGATATCTGATAATATTATTGGTGTTATGGCACATAACTGATATTTACCGATATCACACAAACACACAAATTATTTTTAATACATATATGAACTTGTGTCTTTTTTCGATACCATAAAAAACATACCTCTGTCATGGCTGTACTTTACTTCCTGTCTGCACAGCGTCACTAACACTATCATGATCAAACAGATACCCCTCCACCAACCATCCCCCCCTCATAAAACAGAAACACAAAGATAAAAATTGGAAAATCAATATCAGACGTTAATATTTCATAATAGTTTTACTTATCGAACCAATACAATATTCTAAACAAATGAACATACTGATGTTAATGCTGATATATCGTGCATCACTAGGAAATATAGTCATAAGTAAGGCTAAAGAAAATATCTTTAGCTCTCACAATGACAGCAACACATAGCTATGTTGATGATGATGTGGTAAAGAAAATATTGCCTTTGGAACCTCCTGTTCAGAGTGAGACATCTGATAACCTGTGTCAGTGTGTGAACATGGCGTTTGATTAAGAATCATAAAGGCCAGAGTGGGACCCAGCTTGTTTTAGTTACGCTGCCATCCATCAGCTCTGTGCAGCTTTGTTGTTCCAGCATATTTGAACACAATCTGACACCTGAATTATTGCTGAGAGATAGTGAGAAGCTCAGTGGCACAGCTGTATTGTTAAAGCTCATGTGATTGTACTGTTTGTGTGTGATACAGAAGACCGAGGGGAGGGAGAGGGTCGTGTTGAGGTCAGAGGAATTCCCTCTGGTGGGAGGAATCTTCTTGCCTGGTACCATCATGTACTGACTTTTCCTTCAACTCAGCCTCTCGTTCTCCCTGCTCAGCCACCCTTCTTTGTTTCTTTGAGCCCGTCTCTCTTTCCTCTTTGAGTGAAAGGAAACATTTGAGCTCAAGTGCAGAGAGTGTGAGGTGTATAAAACCTCTAGTGGTTAGAGTCGAGGGAGATGGTTAGTAAAAGGTACTGAAATGTTTAAATGAGGCCTTTCTGACAACTCAACATGGTTTCAGTGCTGGCCTTCAGACTCTGGAAGGATTTACCAAGAATTTCCCTGACCACTCCTGTGGCAACCATTCAAACAAACATTCAGCTCGCAGCCATAACATCTGCCTCACTGACAGTTTGATCTTTTGAGCATTATGTCATTAGCCAACTCTGTGAATATGATTTGGAGAGCAAATCTTCCCACATGAGCATGATGAACATGATTAGAGGAATTGGGACACTGTCATGTCAGTTTAGTTATCTGCATCTGTCCTGCTGGAGGTCAATGAAAAAACAAAAATCAGATGTAAATCATGCTGCAATTAAAAATCTTTATTTATCTTTTTAAACAGCTTTTGCAGTGCTTTTATTTTGAAGGCAAGTAAGTGTTTACATCAGCAGCCTCCTGTGTGTGCTGCAGTAGTCTCTTCACGTGTATGGTGCGGTATGAGAGTCAAAATTGAGACTATTGTGCAACCAGTGGCTGCTACATCCTTATTTCTATTCCTAAGCCAGCTATTGATCTGATTAATGACAGGCGGTACCGCTAATTGAGCAGCTGGCCCCAATAACTGAGGACGCCGGCACTGGCAAATGAGAAGGAGACTATTCATTAGCATCGGAGAGGCTAGCGACTAGCATGGATAAACTGGAGTTAGCATTGGAGATGCTAGCAACTAGCATGGATAAGCTGGAGTTAGCATCGGAGAGGCTAGCAACTAGCATGGATAAGCTAGTGACCTACTGGACTGCCAATCCCCTCCGCTGTCCATTGGCATGGTTAGGCTGGCATTAGCATTGGAGAAGATGCCTAGGCTGCCCCCTGCCTTACCTTTATCAAGGTAAACGAAACTGTAATGTTAATCACTCCTTACCAATGACCTAGCCACCCAAAGCAATTAGATCATCATATCATGCTAATAAGTAGCTTAATATTTCTATTAAAACTGCAGTAACTGGCTGTAGGTCTACTGTAATGTTACTCAGACATAGAGTTGAGAGACAAACTGAAGTATTAAGGATGGCTGCAGCTAAAGCCACCATCAGCTACATGAAAAGCACAATAGTCCTCAATAAAAAAATTTGTTTCCTTCTAACATAATTGTCGTTACAACTTTTACTCTTCCTTTTATTTTATAAACTCCTTACAAACAATCCATACAGCTAACATCATGTTCCCTCTCTCAGTGAAAGCTCGTACCGAGCGGAGCAGCTAGTCTGTGATGCTTTCAAGACCGGAGAAAACTTATGAGTGTTAACCACACTGGATACATTATACTGCATGACTGTCAGAGGTGTGCGCTCTACAAGTGTTTCTAGTTCCAAATTTATTCAATAATTTGGTCAAACTAAGGTTTGACAACAATACTTCCTTAAAAAACAGTAATAGTTTCTTTTTTAGGCCACTGGCAGCAATCATGAATCAGTTCGACTTTCACAGTTAATCAGCTGTAGATGTCAACTAAGTGATTACTTTGAGTCTAATCCATTCAGTGATTCACGACATAATAGCAACAGATTGTATAGAGCAGGGGTGTCCAAAGTGTCGCCCGGGGACTGTTTGTGGCCCCTGAAATGATTTTGTGTGGCCCCTGATTTCAGTTCAAGAATTATGTAAATTTGTCTACACATTTGTACCCCCGGCACAGGTGTTTGATGTAGATCGAGACTTTCTAGTTTTAATTAGGGCAAATTTATCACAGACAAAGTAAAATCTTCTTCCAATAACAAATATTGGCAACAATACCAATTATTTGTCTTTAAATAACCAGACACTTAGCTTTTTCCACATCTATTTAGTGACTTTACTGAAAAGCTGATTTTGCTGCACTCCAATCTGCTTTTAATTAATTTATTAAATTTGGCTGAATACAAAGCATTTTCAACAAAAGAGTGACCTAAATCCTGATTTTATTGATCAGAATTGACTAAATCTGACTACTTTATTTGTTTAATTAAAGTATTCAGTGCTTGTTGAGCAGGTAAAAGAAAAATATTTTTGGCCCTCAAGTCCGTATGATTTCATGATTTTGGCCCATATGACAACATGTTTGGACACCCCTGGTATAGAGTTTGTGTGAATCTAAAATGTATATTATTGTCCAGGTAACCAGCTTTGATTGGACCAAAAACCAAAGGAGGCAGGATTGGCTGCCTAATAAGAGGCGCTGAGTAAAGACGACCTGTGAAAATTATGACGTGGGTTCCATTCCTTCTGAATCCCAACCAGCCACACCTGACCTGCACGAACACATCAGTTCGACTGTAAGTAGTTCTGTCAGTTTGTAAGGGTGGGCTGACATTTCTTTGAATCCTCTTTTTTGTCATTTTTGTTGGTACAGGAAGATTTTTTGTTTCTTATATTTTACTTTGTTTTTCATGAATCACACCATTTCTATAAAATCATCCCATCTCTGTGGCTGTTTGAGTTGCACACAAAGACTTGGGCTAAAATATGATCTTCTTTATTTGCCTTTGAGAAAAGAAAACTAAACTTTGTTTTAAATCCATGAAATGTGAAGCTGTGTATCTGTGAGCTGTGCAGAGGTTGTGCACTTACATGTGTGGTGAAACCTCATAGAAGTTGACCCCTCTGTATCTCTCCATGTGGTTCTTGGTGTAGATCTCCAGGTCTTTGTATGGGTTAACTGACACCAGCACTGATCCAATGTAAGTCTGAATAAAAAGGAAGATAAAAGGCAAATGATATCATTTAAGTAACAATTCTACAAAAACCACATAGCTTTATGTTTAAATGATATAAATGTCTTGCTGGAGAGAATATAGGAAGAACAAACTGTCATTAAATTGATTACTACAAACCCTCATCACTGATTTTACTCACATAGATGAGATTCTCCTTGAAGCGTTTGCGTAAATTTTCTATGAAGGCAGCTTCACTGGTGAAGTTCTCCAGCAGAACAAAATCCTGCACCCCCACCCGATCTCTGGCTGTCAGGGCCGACTCCATCATAGCCCGCACCCCGTCACTGGCTATCACCTGGGGAAAGAAGAAGGCTGTTAGCATGGGCAGCGAACAAAAGCACAGACACAAACCATGTTGGACAGCACTGGAGACATGAACTGTTAAAAATAGTGACAGAAACTAAAAACCCATGTACATGTTTGGGCTGGATTATGCAACACAAGAACTGACATCCTGGACGAGTGCAACTTGATTTGAAATCAATAAACAAAAACAGAAAACCGACTGGAACAGCAGAGATATATCAGAGGACACCCAGCACAGAATACGAACCATCTTTACTGGGAAAGATGGTAAAGACAAACAAGCAGATGAATAAATAACAGATTTTTTTAACAGGAAAAGATTATTAAAAATCAAGCCTGACTCAGCATATTTGCTGTTTTACAGCAGGTTCCTGTTCTGCAGCACATAAAACACTCAGAATTACAGCATCACAATCACATCAATATACACCATAGACACAAAGACAAACAAGCATACCAAATTTCAAGAAGGCAGCATTTGCAAAATARGATGTCTAAATATGAACACAACAGAAAATGTCCAGCAGATGGCAGACAAGATTCTTCTTAAAGGGCTGTAGTTTTGAAATGGACTTTATGTTTTGAGGAATGTCATTCCRTGCTTTAGTATAAACATAGAAGAAAGACCTCTGGCCGTAACAGTTTTTAAAAGTTGGTAATATCAGTTGTCCTTTTGTAACAGATCTAGTTGAATGACCACTTCCAGAATTTGATTTGGGCAACAATGCACAGAGAGTTCCATAATTGGCACCTTGGGAGATCTGAAAATATAAATTAATGCCACTATACAAAACATAATTCTGAAAAGTCAAGGCATCAGACAATGAAAGAACTGTACAGTGATGAGTCCAACCAGGAAGTATTTTATGAATTTTGTAGGCCCTGTTGTAGAGCCTAACTATGGGTTCTAAGATTTCATTTGTTGTAAGAGACCAAACAGGTAAACAGTACGACATGGTTGAGAGTATAATGGCATGAAGATAGATATTTGAAACAGAAGATGTCAGATTGGATCTAATTTTTGAATAAACGTATAATTTCTGTTTCAACTTAGTGGTTAAGACTTGTACATGATCATGATAAGTCAAATGAGAATCCAAAGTAATTCCAATATATTTGTAGGTAGTGACAATATCAAGGGGTTTGTTTAAAAAAGTGAGTTGATTTGTTATATTGAAATGTCTCCTGGGTGAGGAAAAATACATGCACACAGTTTTTTTAACATTAATTGACAAAAGATTATCTTGAAGCCAACCATGAAATGTCTGAAGACCTGCTTGTAACTGACTATTAATAAATTCAATATTGAAATCAGACAAAAAAAGAACAGTATCATCAGCATACATTAAAATATTTGAATACTTCAATATTTTTGGAAGGTCATTTATGAATTATAGGAAAATCAATGGGCCCAGTATGCTACCCAGCAGATGTAGCAATAAATAGTAACAAAAGTAATTCTGCTTTTTATGCCAGAGTTTAAAACTAAGATCGTCTGACGAGAAGAGAGAGTTGCAGCCATTTTGTTCAAACCCTGTAAATGATGCTCTGCATGCATCCCAGCACTTAGTTGTACTGTGAACGACTCATAGACACTTCCAGACTTCACTGAGGATCTTAATTCAATTTATCTGAAAGCTATAAGAATTTGTGTTTGCTAATGCCACTTAAGGCTGAGTCACACTACAAGATTTTAAAACAGTCAGCCAATTTTCAAAGACTGAGAGAGCCGACACGTGAGGATAAAACATCATGGATTTACCAGGTTTGGTCCTACAGTGTGTGGTGTACAGCCACACGACAAGAGACAACACACCACACATGAAATGATATTTCGTTCATGAAGATTCAGATGTCAGCTATTAAATCACGCGAGACTTCCTGAAATCTCGCAAGAATTCAGATGTCCGAGGAAAAATCTCACGTGACCTCCAGAGAGACGTGAGTTCAGAGTAAATAAACACTTGCAACAAGGGAGAAACAATGTTGATCGTTTGTGGACTATTTTTACCAGAGGAGAAACAATTCCAGGACTTTTAGCATCCAGCAGACTTTCTGCTGAGTCATGACATTTTTTTTTTTTTTTGGTCTTCTGGAATCCCCTCCGTGTTTACGTCACCTCGCTTTCTGATTGGCTACACGTCTCATTCAACAGGCTGAGAGCTCAGGTGAACACCACACACACTGTGATATCGGGCCAAAAAATCTAACATGTTGAATATCCCTGATTTTAGGTCGGAGCGGTCCCGACGTCCTTCCGAAGCAGACTAGATAAAAGCCTGGATTTTGCCTGGAACTCTCAGACTGAAGAAGTCTCTTGGAGGAGAGATGAAACGTTTCATTAGAGAAGAACCCGTCCAGAAGACCTATACAATTGTTTTTCTTTTTGATTTTTTACCTGGATTACTGAGATGCATCAGGAGACTAGATCACTCTTAACTCACCACCCACGGCAGGAATATCTGCTCAGATTATCTTTAGAGCCATCACGATAATCTGGACTTCCTTAAGATTGTCAGAAGGGCAAAAATCAGCAAGATTTTCTTGTAGTTTGACGCCGGCCTTAGCTGTGATAAGATATGTTGCCAACAGACAAACAAGGTTGATGCAAACTGTTACAGTATGTCAAAGTTTTAGGCAAAGATGTTCAATGTGTAAGGCCCTGAGTGTGTGTTGGGGATGACCCTCGCCTACGACCACTTTAAATTTTAGGGAATCATCTACAATAGTTGGGTAAAATCATATTGTGTGCAATTAATCGTCAGAAAAAATTACTTTTTGACACTTGGTGATTAATATGATTGACTGAGTGAGGATTCCCTGTTCAGTCCGCTCGATGCTCCTCTTCTCTTTCCTCTTCTAATCCCAAAAATTGATGCCCTACGTCCTCATCAAAGTCCTCACTGTGTCTCAGACTGTTTGAGCTTCTCTCCTCGCTCTGAAAAGGTTCTGACTGCGGCTCGGTCCACAGTGCAGGCCTGCAGCTCCGCCTCACCGGCTACAGCTTCACATGTAAATAAATCAGCTCACTGATTTGACTCAAAGACAAAACTGACTAAACTCAGTGCTTAACACACTACACCATAACCATAAAGTCCAAACACATCGCTAAATCTGTCTCTTAAATCTAATCCTGCTGTGTCTCTATCGCCGCTGAACTTCATTCAATTTTCGCATCTTTTAACTTTCTTTATTCTGCAGATTATTTTTGTGCTTAAGAAATCATTTCAGACGTCCTTTAGAACAGAACTAAAGTTTGTTATGTTAGTTCGGCAGGGTCGGGGAAAGACTGGAGGATGTTTTTTTCCATGAATCTGTCCTTCTTTCACTGCCTCCTGTTGCAACACTCCACATATGACAAACTTGTTTTTAAAGGGCAGTAAATTATTTACCTTAGCTCCAGTTTTATTTTGCCTGACAAAATAATCTAAAAACTGGTGTATAGATTTAAGTCCGTACTTTTGACACAAATTGGAACAGATCTTTATGGAGAACATATCTTTCCCATTAGAGTGATTTAAATTGGTCATGTAACTAGGACATGTAGACTCTCAGGGACTACAAGGGGTTAATCATAATATTAATCGTTATCAGCTAAATACCACAAATAATCATGATTTTTTTTGCCTTTATTGCCCAAACCTAATCTACAAACCTGACTGAGGTCGATCCAGTTCGGTGTTTGCTAAGGTTGCTGAGCTGTGGCAGTTATCTTAAAGGCGTTGACTCCAAAGGTGAACTAGCCATAGATGTTCAGACAACACTTCCTTCTGAGAGTTTAAAAAATCAGTCCATTGGATCGTAAGATATTCTCCTAATACTGCAGAAAAATGGACACAGATAAGCAACCATCATCACCTTAATGAGTGGCTGATAAACACCTTCCTTGTTTTTAGACCACTGAAGTTTAAAACATGAGTTCAGCACTTGTAACTAGTTTGTATTGTTTTACAGACAACTGTAAAACTATAAGATTTAGTTTACAAGAAAATAAAACAGAAAAAGGAAATGTCTTGAAACAACACATAAAGTCTAATTGTTTTATTGTTTTCATGTCCTCTTCTTTTCAGCTAAAGGACAGAAACGTGAAGCGTAAAAGTCATCGTTCTCTTTTGCTCAAACGGCAAACGTTTTCTTCCTGCAAGGTTTTAGTTGCACTTTTTTACAGAAGCACCCTCTCAGAACTCTAGTGACCTCAAAAAACTGAGATCAAGCCAAGCCCAGATGTTTCTGGCGAAGAAAATGCTTCAACACAAATCCTAAAAAAAAGGCCCGCCTATTTTCACATGTTCAAAAATACACAAGACAAATTTAGCATTAGACACATGAAGCCAAACTGCAACACTTACATGTTTAAGCTCTTCAAGGTGTTTGCTCAGGAAGCCATGTTCTAAAATAGAGGCTTGAGTTTTGCGCATAAGACTGCAAATATTATCAACGTCCATGCTGAAGATGCACCAGGTGGCACAGGACTAAAACAAGTCTAACTTCTGCTGCAGAGTGGAGGAGGTTTAAGACAGGATAAGGATGGAGCAGGACAGAAGAGACATGCACCGGTACATCAGGTGGTGTTGTTGTGTTAGGCAGAGTTGTGTCCCTCAGGAGACCCCAACGAGGACATACTGTAGATTAATCAAGATATAAGGAGACTTTTGGGAGGAGAGAATGTATTAATTAGAGTTGAGTGAGACAAAAGGGAAAACTACGAGAGAGAAAAATAATAAATAGAGTGGATATGATGGATGCTGGTTCTGACAGCTGAATCACTGTTTAAACTCCAGCGGAGAGTTTACAGAACTCCCTGAAATTCCACACAGCAGCCCTGTCAGCTCCACCCAGCCCATTAATTCACTGCAGCGACAGGCTGTACAGTGCAGAGAACACACACACACACACACACACACACACACACACAC